CTCCTAGATTTTTAGATTAAAAAAAAGTACGAATAATAAGCAAATTCCACCCACGTATTCTTGCATGCCTCTCTTTATTAGTCTAGGTATTTTACCATTAACTTGTCTCTTGATATATTATTCAGTGGTTTTGTTAAAATTACTTAAGGGCGGGAATATATTTTCAGCAAACGCTGATATCTACAACTACAACATTTGACTCAGTAACCATATTCATCAGGCGACAGTATCAACAGCTCACTACAAAAAATTTACTTATATTACATTATTTTACACCTTGCCAGATGATATTAAACGATTAAATTCGATACAAAAGTTTAAGTCCCAAGTAAAATCATTTCTTCTACACAACTGTTTCTATACAATCAGAGACTATACCGAGCATCCAAAAGGAAAGTAATATTAATTTTAACCACGACATTTAGTGTATTTACCATTTGGATTGTATAATTTTAAAGAACCTGTCACAAGTACGAAACCTCAGCTTCTGAACCTCCATCTAGATCAGGTTTTATTGCAGTTTCCCTGATCCTCGAGCAAATGTTGAGATGGCATTTTGTTTTGCTTCTGCAATAACTATCTTACAAGAAATGTAAGATAGCTCTCCATCCTAATTGTTTTGCAAGAATCCATTCCTAAATATCTTACTTGCAGAGTAAACATTAAAGAGAGTTTGTAAAACCACAATTTTTAATTATATACGTTCACATTATATAAATATAAAGTTTCTGAGTAAATAATAAAAACTGAAAAAAGTGTAAATTATCGTCTAAACTACAAGTATAATCAATTGTAAAAGAATTTGTTTTAAAAATATAAGTGGCAATTGAATTTTACACGTAAGTGCTTGGTGGGGAAAAAAGATTATCATTATCTAGAACTCTAGAAGTAAACAATGAACTAGTGGCGCTACTGAACGGTACAGATTTTTCCGCATTAGCTTTCTATTTCCTTTGGTATTGGCTAGCTATACGAATTAGCATTATCCGTTCGAGAAGTTTGAAGAAAACATTTACAGCTATTTATGAGAACATGAAATTTGAACATTTCTAAGAATGCGGAATTTGTACACTTTTTGACAAAGAATGGTGGAGCTTTTAAGGAACTTTATTTGACATTCTTTAAAGCACATGTACTCATAAATACAATAATGTGAACAAATTGCCGCTAATATCAATATTAACGACATGAGAGCTAAGTCAAAAATATTACATTTTTTAAATATTTGAAAAAACAAAAGAATATAGCAATATGGTGTTTGATGTTATCATGATTACAATTAGTACTATATTTGTATAGAGTACATTTAGCTCTATCCCTACGAAAAGTTAAAAAAATGGAGCTCTTTTTAAGAAAATCCTGTTTTTGTAATTTTTAAAAATTGTACGTATTGCTGGAGATATTGCACGAAAACTGCTAAAATTAAAAAAAAACTGTACCTAAAAACCATAATGAAAGAAATCATTAAGAAGAACACAATTTATTTGAGGGAAACCTCTCTACCTTTAATTTTGTAATTGTAAAAAAACAAATAATGAATACTTTCTAAATTTTCGAAAATTTAGAGTTAACCATGAAAATAGAACCTATGCCACGTTTGTATGTGTATCTATTCTTACAAGAAATTTAAAGAAAACATTTGGAGCTACTTTCGATAAAATTTTGAATATGTCCTAGGGGCTTCATGTAAAATACTCCCAAAAATTAATGAATGTTTTTAAAAATCGCAGATCTTCGACTCAGACCAGATCGACAGGGGTTTATTCAGTTTGAAAAAAAATCGCACGCATAGTTTAGGTGCTAATGTTGTCCACATTCACTAGACAGACGGATGGACACCCGTTAAAAAAAACAAACTCACCCTTTCTGAGTCAGGGGACCCCAAAACGTGTATTTCCGTTGAAATCTCGAAATCAATATTCATACTGCATTACATAATTTTCCCTCTACTACGAATGTTACTCCGTACGTATACGAGAAAGTAAAAACAGGAGTCTTCTCAAGACAAAGTAGAAAGAAAGAAGTCGGCTCTTGATTATCAGAAGCTCCTGATTCCCCCAAAAAACCTAAATCTGAGGACTATAATTTTTTAACACAAGTGCACTAACTGAACACTGGCTTATGGAGGATCAAATAAAAATGACACATATCCCGGGTTTCTACTTAGCTGGTTACTTCAGTCGTAAGGCCAAACCCTCTAACAGCAGACATACGAATGGAGTCACATGCATATACCTGTCCAATAACAGTGATTCCAAAGAAGTAACTGAATTCAAACAGTTAACATGTAACTCAGACATAAAATATTAAATTGTAGAAATCTCCATAGATAAACATCTTACTCTCAAGCATTTACCAAGATCCTGATGGAAATCTTGAAATATTCTTAAAAAACTTAGAAAAAATCTTGGATAAATTATCAAAGCGGGCACATTACTCTATCATAATCTGTTATGATATAAAAATTAACTTCCTATCTACAGCTAATATTATTCATGAAAGGACAGAATCAAACTAATAAACTTATCATGCTCTTATAATCTATATGCAGAAATCGACACACCAACTAGGCAAGCCAAGAACACCCAAACAGCAATAGACCAAATCCTCTTAGACAAATCAAAACGCAAATACACCATCACCTCTAATGATACGGGGCTCAGTGACTATAATGCACAAATATTCCCTCTTAAAATATATTCCATCTCACTAAAAACAAATCTAATAAAGGAGACTAGAAAGTTTGATGCAAAAAACTTGAACAAACTCATCTCAGTGTTAACCAATGAATCATGGTCAAGTATTCATGAAATATCTGCCATCAACCTAAAGTTTTAACACTTTCTTTAAAACGTTCAAACACGTTTTCAAAATCTCACATCCACAATAGTATCACGAAACAAACAACAAAGCATGAATAATAAAAGGTATTAAAATCTCTTGTGAAGGAAACAGAGAGCTTCATACAGTTACAAAACAACACTCTTGCAATCAAATAGTCATCAAGAAGTCAACTACTATAAGCGACATTCAGCCATACGGTACTAAAAAAGTTATAATAAAGGCCAAACACTTGTCAAATAAATACATTAAAAAAATCCAAAAATATAATAAAAGCTATGTGAAACGTCGTAAAAAAACCTTACCAGCAAATGACAAAACAACACAAAATATTGAACTAGTACATCAACAGAGAAGAATAGCCATTTCACAGAAGAATAGCCATCCTAATGAAATAGCCATTTCACTGAAATTGCTGGCAGACTTCTGCAAACAATCCAAACACTGAACCTCAGCAACCACCATCTTCCTTTAAAAACTCGCTTTATAGTACGTACATCACAGAAACAACAGAAAATGAAATACTTCAAATTATAAACAAAATGCACAATAAAAAATCTGCCGGGTTAGACAATATTCCAGACTTAATAATAGAAAACATTGTTCTAGATATCATCAAACCATTAACATATTTTTACAACCAATCACTAACTCATGTCTCTTCCCAAACATATTCAAAACTGCAGTAATTAAATCTATCCGCAAAAAAGGTAACAAACAAGATGTAATGAATTATAGACTAATTTTACTCTTGTCACGATTTTCAAAAATATTAAACTCGTCTATGAAAGGTTAAAAAGCTACCTGACGGTCTGTAACATTATCACTGACTCTCAACATGGATTTTACCCTTTACATTTCTCTGGTATATATTCTTACCACTGGTCATTTAGGGTCACTTTGTTTAGGAAGTACCTTACTAAGTGATCTTTATTGTCCTGAAACTCGTATGTAAACGCTCTGTGTTGAGCATTCTTACCACTTTTTGAATTTGCCGCTTTTGCGCCGTGTGGCAAGCCTGCTTACCACCGTCCAAATGTGCGCGAGAATTGCTAGTGAGTGTCGTCCAAGTGGTTTAAATCGCAAATATTCGTGTTTCAGAGGGTGATTCTTTAAAATACAGGTAAGATTTACATTATTTACTTATTTTTATTGATTTCAAGCTCACTAGAAGTTTATTTTTTTTACTTTTTCGTCCGTGTTTAACATTTATCAGAATAATGTCACATAACTGTACAAAATGATGTCCTACTGCCGTTAAAATGTTGACCGATATTTCAGTTTCTCTACAAGTATTAATTCATGGGTGTTCACACTCTACGTGTTATATAATTTCAATTTCTGCACGTTTGTGTTTGGTTTTGATTCTAGTCCAGATGTGATTGCGTAATAATGAGAAGCATGTGCTAAATAAGCGCTCGACCGGGTGCTTGGAAGAGCCACACCAGGAGGCATGCGTGTTTCATTGCAATACAGAATGGTGCTTGTCTATCCTAAACATGTTTTTTTTAGAACGAATTTAGGAGTAAATCACTGTACCTATTGTTGTGATACTGCATGGCAATAACCAGTTTTCTAAATAATTGCTTTGTGTGAGAATTCTTGAACTGCAAAAACATCTGGGCGCGAGCGGACGCGTGTGGGAAGGAGGGCGCCGGCCAGCGCAGGCCCTCATTTCAGGCGCCAGGAAATCGCTATGTTTGAATTGACAGCAACCATTTCAACACTATTCGATAGCTCACACATGGGAGTAGGAATAAACACGTGTTCAAACCTACAGATAGGTAAGCTTTACAATTGTTCAGAACAAAATATGCACGCGGGCTGGAGGTTTAGGTCGATTTTATCAATTCACCTAAGGAATTTATAAGAAAACACAAATCCGATATTTTAGAGAATAATTTATCCTTCAACTTACGTTGTAAATTATCTATTTGACAGTTATGTCGAGAAAGATGTTAACGGAAGTGTTGGAAGCGTTGCATAAGTTGACTGATGAAATGGCCGAAAATTCGGATGCATCCATGTAGAATTCAAAGCATTTACCAAGTATGAGATTACACTGGAGTAATTTTCATAATGCACGTATAGCCAATGTTATGTTTCTGAAAAGATTTCTAAAAATTTTGCGGTTTTTGCATCTAAATGGCAACTCGAAAATGCCAAAACGAGGACAATCAAATTTTGATCGTCTATTCAAATTGCGACCTTTGCTGGATCACATGAATCAAGTTTTCAAGCAGCTATATAAATCTTCGCTTTTCTTGTCAATTGATGAGTCAATGGTGGGCTTCAAAGGGAGAAGTTCTTTGAAGCAGTACATGCCTATGAAACTCATCAAAAGAGGTTTCAACATCTGGGTAATCGCTTGTGCAGTTACAGGTTATTGCTTGGGCATGCCTGTGTATGAAGGGAAATATGAAGGCGACAAGACATCAAAATCATTAGGTGAACGAGTTGTAGAAGAACTTAGCAGCGCTTTAGAAGGTTTAGGATATTGCTTTTTTTGTCATTTTTTTTCACACATTGGCATGATGAAAACACTGTTAACCAAAAAGCTATTTGCTTGTGGAACAATAAGACAAAAAACACGAAAATTCTTTCCAAGGGATAAACTTGTTTCGGGCCGACATCTGAAAATGGGAGAATGTGACGCAGTAATGTCTGGAGATATTGGCATTTCGAAATGGAAAGACAGAGGTAAGAAGTGTTACTGTTATCAGCACTATGCATAATCCAAAGGTAATGTCTCAGGTGCAGCGCACAAATAAAGAAGGTAAAAGATATTTTGTTCCGTGCCCTGAATCAGTAAAATATTACAATGCTTATATGGAAGGAGTTGAATGCTTTGATCAGCAACTTCAACTCGGCCTACAACATATCGCGGAAATCAAGACGCTGGTGTATGAACATATTTTATCATTGAATCGACGCGTGCATAGTTAACAGCTACATTGTACGATCGTATACAAGGACACGCTAAAAAAATAAACCAGTATAGACACTAAACCGCTAACACATCTAAAATTTAGATCATTGTTGGCCTCAGAACTAATAGGTTCTTGTAGTGTAGGGCGAGTGAAGAAAGGGCCAATTCCTCAAATTGGAAGAGTCAAAAAAAGAAATCACCCAGACGGCCGACCAATAGAAAATACTACCCGACTTGCAAATGTTGGCGATCGCCTCCCTGCAAAAGGAGCAATGTCTCGAAGATGCGCCTTCTGTAGAACATCTAAGAAGCAAAAGAGGTCAACGACCATATGCACAAAAGGCCATGTGCACAGAAAGCTTCTTACCTCTTCACAAACCTAAAAATTGGAATTGTATGATATAAAAGTTGTATTTATTTTTATTCTGTCAGAAATATATCTATTTTTTGTAATATTCAGGCAGTAAATATCTGTAAAACTAATTTGCTTTTTTATATTTTATAAACCAAAAGTGGTAAGCATGCTTACCAGAGAACACACTGTGTCTGCTAAACGTATTGACGTTCTCTGGTAAGCATACTTACCACCATATTTTTCAAAAACTGTCGATTATTATTCGGAACCAGATGTCATTTTATGTTAATATGGGTCCAAATGATAATATTTTGCAATTATATTCTCCGAATTTTATGCTCTGCTGTACTGCCTTATAAAGGATTAAGGAAAAATCAATCAACTGAAACTGCTATATTCACATTTATAAATGAAATCCTCATGGCATTGGAGAAAAAAAAATTCCTGTTGATCTCTTCCTTTATCTGTCAAAAGCCTTGACAAATCATGGTGATTTTGGACATATTGAGTCAGATATGGCTGGGGGGGTAATTTCTTCTTTAAAAAATATGAATCAAAAAATGGTCATGTTGAAGTCTTCAGTTGACATCTAGCATTGTCAGAACTGCTTTTATTAACTTTGTTCAATTCTTTCTGCTATGTGTTCTGAAGGTTCTTCCACTTGGATTGAATCTCATCTTTTTTAAATGTTTATATGTTCAGACAAATAGATAGGATGAGAACCTAGATTTTTTTGATATTTGCTGCAGCTTCTTTATGTTATGTTGTGTATTGTTATAATATTGAAGTAGCAGGTTTGTAAATGTGTTCAGCAAATCATTGGTTTATTCTACATTCAGTTAATATTAATAACGTAATGGCACATGTTAGAATTTTGTTTTGCCTAAAAAGTTGGAGATTTAGGTCTATTTTATTGCTTCAATCTCAGATTAGTATCAGTAAGTTAACTCTAATAATTTTCAATGCAAAATTTGTATTAAAAAGAAAAAAAAGAAAAAAATTGTGTTCATTCATTTAAGTTCCTGCAATATTTCTGTTAAGAGATTTTTTACTTTAGTGAAGGTGTTTTTATTTGAAAATAATGTTAGGTTTATAGCGCAATGTATTCAAATAACTACCCCTTCCCCTTAGTTGGAAGGAAAAAATGATTGTATTACTATTATTTGTGGTTTATTTCTTCTTTGATTGACATTGAATCTTTTTGAAACTTGACATTCAACTTTTCTGATTATAAAATATCTGAACATGGCATTTAAGGCACATTATATTTTAATAATGGTTATTTGTTTTTGAATAAACTTGTAGACTCTAACAATTATGCTTTTCAAAATGACAAAATGTCATTCAAATTAGCAATGAATGAACTGCAAATCTTTTTGGGAATAAATATTATAACAACTAACGGATTTTGATGTAAATACATATATTTCCAGAAACAAGATAGCTGCATTCAAACCTACTTTTTAGAGTTTACAGGACATTATGAATGAAATACATTATTTTTATTGAACATATTTTTAAATATTTGTGTTTAATTACATATTTTACCTATTACTACATATTTCATTACCTTTTATTATATTCATATACGTCAAAGCTGAACATTTCAGATGCGAGTTCACAATATACCATGTTACTGGAATCATCTTACAAAGATATGCAATGTGCTTCTATGACCACCAGTCCTTCTTTATGAATTGTCAAATTTATTTCTCCTCTTGCTTCTTGAAAATCGTGTACTTGGGGTCAAAGATGAGCAAATGAAGACAGAAAGCAGAAGTAATGTCAACATCGTACTTGCTCATGTTTCAGAGACTCCCTGCGTAACATGATAAAAAAATGAACCAATATTCTTAGTTCATAGTCTTGCGTTGTTGGAGTAGGCCGGGAGGGGGAAATCTCCTTTCCTCCCACCTCCGGGATTCAGTATTGACACCATGGCACTACACTGTTCACTGTAGAGTAAGAACATTCTTCCTTTCTCTCCAAATCCATGATAAGACTGAGGGGCGATGTTCAGTGCTCCTACAATGCTTGTATAGAGGAATTTTAAACTCTATAATAATTTTTTAGATATTTTATATTTTTCTTACATATCTTGACCAAATTGGATCCATATGTATGTACATGTTAGACTTTTTTATTTCAATAAATTCTGTTCCCTAATAATAACATTCATAAAATACCACCCAGGCTAGGATGTGTTGGTTAACAACTGAAGGTTTAAGAATGAATCTAATTGCTAAAGCAAGTCAGTGAACTGATTTGAAGAGATTGAATGGTTCTTATATATTGCAAATAACGACATTAAGAAAACGGATCCAATCAAGCAGTGCCAGATTACCAAACAGTCTGGTAGGCTGCAACCTGGGGTGCGGAATTTTTGGTGGCGGAAGAATTTCAGTGGATGCAAAATTTCATATGGTGAACTTTTGACTGTTCTTATAGAAATTGCTCATTCTCCATTAGAATATCAGAAGTATAGATAAACACATCGATGATCTCAGATTATTAATTAAAAAGGAAAAGAAGTTCAGATATTATAACGTGCTTTGAAAAATTCAAATAACTCTTAATACTTCTACAAAATATATAATAATTTTATGTATTATACAAACAGTAACATTAATATAAACAATGGGATATGCATTTATATCAAACGCAATATTAATCATCCAAATAACATAATCAGTATAGGTTTAAATACAGCTTTGTTCACTGAAATAGAAACTGATATTGGAAAAGTATATTACATCAATATACAGTTCTAGAATTTTTGAACTTGAACTTGATACAAGACCTTCACAGTCACCTGTTAGACTGAAAAAAATTTACAAAATCATCTATTTTATGATAAAGGACGAACAATAATAGGATATTAGGATAAAGGGCAAATAATTTGGAAAATCAGAATGTGTAAATATGGAGACTTGAAATGTATATGATCTAGCTCTCAAAAAAGTGAATTAATGAAAGAAACCAGAAAGCAAAACTGGAATTGGTAATGCTATCTGAGACAAAAAAGGAACCAGTAACTTAGGGCTCTATGCAATGGTATATAGCGGTGTAGCTGTGGAATGTAGAGCAGGAGTAGCTATTATGATAAGTGGACAAGCAGGATAACATCGTACAGTTGGTTAAATAAGAGGATCATCACATGTAGACTCAAGGTGTGCAGAAGATATGATGTATGCTCTGGAAAGCTAAGAATGCTTAGTAAAAGTACTAAAAAATAATACTAATACCTTTCACAAGAACATACAAAATGTAATTGATTCCATAAATAAAAATGACTATATTATTATTATTGGAGGAGATCTTAATGCCAGAATTGGACGACAGTCCATACAGAAATTAACTGGCACAAATGGAGAAGGAAGAATCATCAATGGAAATAGAGAATAAATCATAATGGGAAGATGTTAAGAGAATTTGTAAACTTCAATTCATTGTGAGTGGAAAACAAATTCTTTCGACAAAAAGAGATTCACACATTTACCTGGACACTTCAAGGAAGCAGTTCAATAATAGATTATGTAATAGCAAATGACAAGATGGGAAAATTATTCTAGGATGTTTAATTGATGAGAGGAATGGATATAGGTTTGATTATTTCTTGGTAAGAGGGAATGTTTCTGCTAAATGGATGGCTCAAAATAAAATACAGAAATAAAGCCATAAAAGAAAACAATATGGAAAATTAAAGTAGTTGAAGATCCAAGTATTAACTAAAATTTTTTCAAGCACGCATAAATCTCTCTATAGAGAGATTCATAATTGTAGACATTGAATTAGAATGGCATAAACTCCTTCAACTAATTGCAAAGCATCTGAAACACACGGAAAGAGGAATCAATATAAAACCAGAAAATGACTAAATATTTTGAATGAAGAACTTAAGTATGCTGTTGAACAGAAGAAAAATCTATATGTAGTCGTTTAGTATGCTGTGTTTCTTCTAGTTGCTCACGAAGAAAAAACCTGAGGCTTTGGAAGAATATAGAGCTCAGAGAAAGGATATTAAGGCAGTAGTTAAAGCTGCACATAAAGAGAGCTGGGAAAGGTACGTCTCAAATATTGAAAATGATGTTCATGGTGGCTAGGCTATGCCTTATAAAATACTAATAACTAATTTAAATAGAGAAGAAAAAGATGCAGAAACTTAGAGCTTCTTAATAAAGAACATTGGCTTATATTTGGCAAATCTCTATGATATGAAGAAAATTTAGGTTACTAATATGAGGAACATGAAGAGAATGTCACATCTAATCCAAATCAATAGAATGTAATGGAATATAATCAATTGCAGGAAGCTCTACAAAGTTGTTCACATAGAAAAGCCCCTGGAACAGACAATGTAAATAAAGAGATCTTTAAATATCTCCCAGAAGAAGCTAAACATAAATTGCTAGATTTCTTAAATCAATGCTGGCAGCAGCAAAAAATACCAG